TCTGTTGGTGAAGGAGGCTAGCTTTCAAGCTACTCAGCTCTTCTTCAGGACTGGGAAAGCTGACACTCTGAGTCACCCTAAATAGAATTCAAAGTGGAGTGGCAGGTTAACACCTCTGCAGTCATAGGACATAGAGGGTTGGTGGGTTAGAGATTACCATAATGAGTCATAAATCCAGTGTCTTTATTAAGACCATGATTTTTAGTGTCTAACAAAATCATGAATTTAAGCTCCTGGGCTTAACTTTTTTGAAGGTGTGGCACAGGTTTCCCTTGAGGACAAGGACTGAAAGGTCACATGTGAAGTGATTATTTTGTGAAAAGTGTTCACCCACAGACGGCATGGTATTTTGGGTCTTGTCATTTTTCTCAGAGTTCATTTGAGAGCGTAGTGATTCTGACTTTGCCCACATAGGTGGTGTTGGGACATTTAGTGTACTCGATAAGGTGTTGTGATAGGCATGTGTAGGACTGACGGATCTTGAAAGGCATGTTGGTGGGGGGGTGTTGCCAGAAGAACAGATGCATAATCTACAGACAAGGGCTGGTGAACTTTGAAACACTTGCTTATGATGATCTTGCAAGGTTGGGGGGTTGTTTGAAGACCACAAGAGGGGCTTTGGGAAGGGTTTCTTTCAGGATGTGGTCCCCATTCAAAAATTACGTAATTGACTGACTGTCAATCCTGTTTCCTCTCAGTTAGGTTTCACTCCCAGTGATGGTTAGATTGAGCAGCAGTCAGGAATAGCTGATTTTATGTATTTATTTAAAAAAAAAAGCCAATAATTTGGCTGTGCAATACTTGATGTATGTAACCATGTGATTCCTTTACTGTTACCCCTGTCCTCCCTTACTCCTTGTCTCCTATTGTTTGTCAGTCAGAGTCTTGTTCACAACCTAATCTGAAACTCTTTTGGGTTGGGGCACTGTGTTTTCTGAAGTGTTTATATAGCACCTAACATAATATGCCCTTGAACATGTCTGGAGCCTTCAGACATTACTATAATCCAAATAATAACCCTTGTTATACAATGCTCCTTCTAGTTTCCCAGTTGTCTGCTATAATACTGCCTGTTGTGATGTATAAATAAATGATAGTATTTTGAAACAGTACCATCTAGTGGCATATTGTAGGTATAACAATGTACTAGCCACTGAATTATGTCCAAAAATACATGGTCATTTTCTGTAAAGAAATAACTTGGAGCAAAAGATATTAGTAATGGTTCATTTGTACTGGATGCAAGGAACTCAGATATATTTGATATTGAATCATATCTGTAGACTGTTTCAAATTATTTTTTTCTCACTACAGATTTACTTTCTCCAAGTAATATTAAAATGAAATATTTAAAGTGTGGTATTAATATCTGAAGCCAAACTTGGCTGAAAGAGCAGGTGATTTCAGAGGATTCATTAGAGGATTAATGTTGGCCGTTGTACAAGCCAATAAGCATTTAGGTTTTATTGCTGCGCATTGCTGCATCTTTGGAACAGCATCTCATTTATTTAGCTCATTAATGCTAATTACTGATATTGACGTATGGTTACAAAAATGAAAGGTTCAGATTTGTTTATATTATGGATGGTGCCACGTGGGTGTGTGTGTGTATGTGGTTGTGGTGTGGTGTGTATATATATATATATATATTTTTTAAATCTTTGCAAGGGGAATGGGAACCTCCCCAAACATATCGAAGACAATATGAGCAGCAGTTTCAAACGAAGTTAATTCAGTAACTAGAGATTATCTGTGTTTTACTGGAGAAGAAACTGAGGCATTGTGACTAGTTCGAGACTATGTGGCAAGTGCCCAGTGTTGTAAGGTGTTGAACACCCTGAACTCTTCATTGATTTGAATAGGAGATGAGACAGTTGGCACCTCTCAAGATTGGGCCCCAACTTCAGGCAGAGCTGGGGTTCGATCTCGGGAGTTCTTCGCATTTGAGCCTAGCGTGAAGGGTCAGAGTCTGCCATCCTTATTCATTTGAAGTAGTACTTTATGAATGGTGATTTCAGTGGGGGCTACTCCTGGAGTACTACTCTTGGTGAGCATGCGTCCTACAGACTGTGGCCCTAAACTAATAGACTGCATAGCTAAGTGCTATAGATGCACAGTGAATGGGACTGAAGCTGAATGGGAACATCTGGACAAAGGAATGATTATCACCAGCAGAGAGAAGCAACTGTTTGAGGAGTCCAATGGAAAGCTAGGATCTGTCAATAGAACACGTGCTGTTGTAGCACAGTATGGCTTTCTACACAGCTTCTATGTAGATGTTTGTAGAAAGCTGCCTCAGAACCTGAGGAAGGTGGATGGAAAGTGGAGAGGTTGATTTTAGGATTATAAAGTACTAACCTGAACTTTCTAAAATAGGAAACCGGGATGAAACTGAAATAGAGCAAACTCCTAGACAATCTGGGCAGTGAATGCCCCAGTTACTATTCTCAGTCCAGCAAAGAAGACTTGAAGTTGGAGGGAGTGATAATTCTAGCCAGGATGGGATGTACAGGCATGCTACCTCACAGACAGAAAAGAATTACTGCACAGAACGGCTGGCAATAGAAAGCGGCTAGGGAAGCCATCCAGAGGCCTGCCTGGAGAAGCAGAGATGCCAGAATGACCAAGGCTGAAATGCTGGCTTCCTTTCCTGCTGATTCAGGTGCAGAATAGTCTGGTGTGTGTCGAATACACTAGGTTGAAATAGGGGGACTGCAAGGATATTTTTGGGGGGGCTGTTCATGAAACACTGTATAATACACTGATTTGCATCTGCAGGGTTTGAGTTTACATTGGGATCATCTTTGGGGGTATTTGAGCAGGGTTTGTTGCACTATCTAGCACTGATGTTGCTACTTTCCTATGTAATGGCTCAGTCCTGTAAGGTGCCGCATGCCCGTTGTCTTCAATGGGACGTGAAGGCTCATAGCATCTGTCCCTGATGGTTCTGCAAGGGGTTGATCATGTCTCTTCATGATATTGGGAGTTTAAACCTCAGAACATAATTTTGACAGGTTAGAGCCCTGTCCAGGAAGGGGGGGGGTGCTGAAAAAATTAGCATCAGGCAAGCAAAAAAAGTGGGGGGAGTGATCTAGGGAGCAGAGCATGGGAACTGGACTTGAGATGTGTTCTTGACTGATGTGAACTTGGCGGGGTGGGGAGAGGCAGAGAGGGAGTGGGGTGTTGGGGGAAGGGGTGGAGAGGGGATCGAGCACCTCGGGAAATGAGTCAGCATCTGTGGTCAGTATCATTACCCCCATTTTACAGATGGGGAAACTGAGGCTTAGAGAGGGGGAGGTGGCTGGCCCGGGGCAGAGCCGGGAATAGAACTCAGGACTCCTGAGTCCCAATCCAGAGCCGTGTCCCATAGTGTCCTGCCTCTGAGGATCTCAAGTTACTCTACAAATGTTGATGAATTTTCACCTCACAGCAGCTCATGGGATGGGCAAGTGCACTGTTTGTCATCTCACTCTTACCTTGTACTCCTTGGTCTGTCCGACTGTATCTGCCTGTTTGTCTCTTGTCTTAGATGGTAAGCTCTTTGGATAGGCACCATCTCTTTGTGTGTTTCTACAGTACTTAGCAAGCTCTCAGCCCTGATTGGGGTCAGTAGGTGCTATTACAGTACAAATAAATGATTATTATAATATTTATTCCTATCTCAGATGAGGAAACTGAAGCACAGAGATATGCAATGACTTGCCCAAGGTCACATGGGGAAATGTGTGGCAGAGCCAGCCAGGGGTAGGAAACCAGTTCTTCCAACACTCAGTCCTATGCTCTAATCACTCAACAAAACTATCTCCGATACCCTGATGGACTCTCTCTTTTTTTTTTTTTTTTTTTTAAATGTTCCCCCTGCTACTTAGTCCTGTAACTATTTCAGCTTGTGGTTCCCAGGTAGCCTATGGCAGTGGTTCTCAACCAAGAGTCCGGGGCCCCTTGAGGGGCTGCAAGCATGTTTCAGGAGGGTCTGCCAAGCAGGGCCTGCATTAGACTCACTGGGGCCCAGGGCAGAAAGTTGGAGCCCCACTGCATGGAGCTGAAGCCCGGGGCCCTGAGCCTCACCACCTGGGGCGGAAGCCAAAGCCTGAGCAATGTAGCTTTGTGGGGGACCCTGTGGCATGGGGCCACAGGCAATTGCCATGCTTGGTACCCCCTAATGCCAGCCCTGGCTTTTATATGCAGAAAAACAGTTGGTGTGGCACAGGTGGGCCATTGACTTTTTATAGCATGTTGGAGGGGGGGACCCTCAGAAAGAAAAAGGATGAGAATCCCTGGCCTATGGGCCAGTTTAAGGACCATGCACTCATTCAGTCGTGATAGGACCAATGCCCCAGAGTTCTGTTCTAGTCCAAAGTTCGCTTGATGCCTGAATGAAACTGCCACCCAGGTGGATGAGAGGCCCTGGGGAAGATGGAACCCTTGGTGGTTCTGCGTAAATATTTCCCGAATTAGCAGTAACAGAGGCAGCAAAAATCATAAACAAGCACTGAATAAACCCAGAAATGCTGCTATTTCTAAATATTATTGTAATGCTTGTGTTACTAGAACAAGGCCCAATGACCCCATTCCTGGGACAGACTTCTCTACCATGTTTGCTTTGGTGACTGAAAGGAGGGTCTTTACCCAGAATAGTATTTTAGATTTCGAATTTAGCTCTTTTTTTGGTACAGGCCACTTGGCCATAAAAAAAAAAAAAAGGACATAATCGTTTTACAGCAGTGCTTCCTTGCTGCAGTGTAGCTACATGGGTGCAACACCCCCTAACACAGACCAGCCTGAGTTGAAACTTCCTCCAGGGTTAAGTACTTTCCTGCGATGAGAGCATGGGGCCTTCCACTGAAACTGTTGAGAAGTGCTCTGTGTGACCGAATATGGCAGGCAGTCTCGGTTGGCTGCAAACTCAGCACCCCGCAGATTTAGTCAGGGGAAGATTCCTGAGAAATCGCGTGAATGATTTCTGCAGCCTACATTGTTGTTTCTCACCCCACTCCCAGAGGTCTCCTGTGCTGTATCCGAGTGGAGTGACTGGAGTGGCTGTGCAGAGCCTTGCCGGGCAACATATCGAGTTCGGAGGAGACACGTCGTGCAGGAGCCTAGAAATGGAGGCGAGGCATGTCCTCCTCTGGAGGAGAAGGCTGGCTGTGTGGAGTATTGGAACCAGGAAGGAGCTGAGTGCAAACAGTCCCTTAGTAAGTGCATTGAAAACGCAACCTCTTGGGCACATGGCTGAGTCCTGGGCTGAAGAGGGCTTGCTTGAATCTAGGGGTCTGGCCACTAAACCTTCTTTACAGTGTTTGTTTGGCTGGAGTTATTTGCAGATAAACCCTTTGGGCCCAATTCTGCTCTGTTACACCAGTGTACATTTGGAGTTGCTCCAGTAAAGTCAGTGGAGTTACTCTGGATTTACACCAGCGTTACTGAGAACTGAATTTAACCTTTTGTATGGGGTTTGTGGGCATCCTTTCTGGGACATTTTATTTTAATTTGTACATTCTGTTTAGTGTAATCTGGTATGTTTCAAAAGTAAAACACCAGGAGTCTGATTCTGATCTCACTTATGAGTGTAATTCTTGTGAAGTCAGTTGAGGAAAATTCTTGTAAGTAGGAGGGAAAATTTGGCCTTAAGAGGTCCTGAGCAGTATCTTTATAAATCAGCTGCAAAAGTCATGGAGGGATGGCACCCATCAGAGGCAAGAGATCACCTTTCCCCACCCAGTTTCTCTTACGTGCCAGTTTCTGATGTAAATCTGGAGTAAAGACTGATTTGATCTTGAATACATTGACTTTCTATGCGTGGAACGCCACTGACTACTGATTTTTTTTTCCTGATGTCTCTGGGACTGGAGTTTGGCTTTGGCTTCTTTACTAGTGTGGATTTAATAGTTTAGGTTTATTTTAAATCCGCTTTCTCAAACCTGCTGAGAGTTGCTATTAAATTAACCGTGATTTTGTTCTCCATTGGTTGGCACTGCTCTGATAAGCAGCCTCCATCTCTCAGACAGTAAAAGGGGATGAATATAAATTTATCTCCAATCAAATGCTGGATATTCACTGATAATATGGAATTGTCTTTGGCAGGAAATCAAAGTAAAAATTATGTGCCGTTAAAGACCATCAAAGCCCCAATCTTTGTTTGACAGGCACAAGTGGCCTCAGTGGAGTAATGTCACTTACCATGTGTGCTATTTCTCTTTGTGCACAGTTCCAGCATTAATAACCACAGGAGGTTATGGGAAAGCAAGGAAAAAGAGAGCTGCGTCCAGCGAAAATGAAAGATCAGGGTAAGTAGGGGCCTGAGTGCTGCAGTATAATCACACTTCACACCCCTTTTCTCATCGGCTTCAGTGTGTGCAGGATTGCACCCAGGGTCTGCTCTTATCAGAGCAAATGTTCAACAGGATGGAGACTTGTAGACTCTGTCTACACAGCATGTTAAGCCTGGGCTCTGACTCAGGTTTGAGCCCAACCCCCATTCTGTCCACATACAAATCAGGACCTGAGTCTTATGATGTGGCTAGGGGGGTGGGTCAAAACCTGAGTTCCTCTGTGACATTTTGCAATGTGGCCACAGGTCAAACCGAAGACCCAAGTCAGAAGGTCTGGGTAGTGCAGTATGGATTCATTAGCATGCTTGCAAGACCCAAGTTCAGTAAGTGTGAACCAAGGTTTACAATTTAGTGTGGATGCTAAAGTGCAGGTTTGGAAACACTGAATCTACAAGTCCAGGTCCCACAAACCCTTAAAGCCTGATTCCAGTGTGGCACCGACTTCACAAAATAAAGAGCTTGACTCTCTGCTTGGGGACATCAGGGTAAACCAGGAGTAACTCCACTGAGGTCAGCGGGACTCCACGGCTGTAAAGCTGGCATGATGGGGAGAGCAGAGTTGTAGTTGTTTAATATTGTTGCTATTTAGAATTCTGTAAGCAAAGAGCAGTCATTTCAGCCTGTTCCCTTGACCTACTTCTCTCTGGGTCCAGGCCCCTTTTCTCCCATCATCATGTGATGGGCTTGCTGGCAGGGTAGCTCTCAGTCTCGCTGTGCTCTTTGCTGTTTGTTTTACCAGGAATAGATCTCCAGCATAGACCATGGCCTAAAGAGTCAGAAAAATGTGCGTGTATGTACTGTTACTGTCATGGTACTTAGAATGAATCAATCACTGATGTAGGAACTTCTTATCTCAACTGTATAGGCCCTTGATGCCTATTAATTATGGTCAGAGGAGTGCATTTATGGACCCCCTGTTTTTTTTCCTGTGTGTATGTTCTGTTTTTGTTACTTGTTTACAGTTGATCTTCAGCTTTATAATGGGGATAGCCATTTACACTCCCCTCTTGGGCTACAGTGTGAACCATAGTTATCCTCCGCATTAAAGGAAAAGCGTGGACTATGGAGACTCCAGCTCCAGCATGCTGAGAGCTGTTGTCTCTGTGGGCAGCACCTCTGTATTAAATGTGAAGCCAGGTGCAGCTGGCTCCATTTTGTGCAAATTAGCTTTGCCATTTGGGATCCTGGTAAATTGCCCTATTGGGTACCAGCAGAGCAGAGTCTGGGCATCCTTGCTGTGTAGGAGGCAGTTTATTGTACTGGTTGGCTTGATTGCATCAAGAGCTGGAGGGAGATCCAGGTGATGTGCTTGGCTCCCTTAAGCTCCTGCTGCACGTTTTCCCCCCAGTGTCACTGTTACACAGTGACGGTACTGGCAAGCGTCAATGTTCTGCATGTAGCTCTCATGTGCACTCTAAATCCTGTGAGAGACAGATGTGCAAGTGCTGATCAGTCGCCAGGCTGGGGTTCTCGACATAGTCACGAATTTGGCAAACGTTCCTCCTTTATGCTCACCTTAAAGAACTAAGATCTGTGAGGTGCTGACTTTGGCCTTGCCTCCCTGCTTCTCGTCCCTGTAGGGGCTGCTTTTGCTATTGTAGGTCCATGTAGCAGATCGCGAAGAGGGATTGCTGCCTGTTTTCTTGTCTCCTGCCTTACTCTGTTTTGCAGGCTGGTGATTCTCTGTGGCATCTTATTTCACGCTCCTGTGGAAGCCACCTGCCATTCTGTAAGTGTCACAGGGAGGATATTGGTACTTCTCTGACACCATATGGCAGCTGTGCATTTGCTGGTTCCGCACCCTTGCGTGCACACACACGTTTCCATAATGTGCATACATCCATCACCCTCATTAAAGCGTCTGCAGGGAAAGAGCTTCTGCTTGTGCAAAACCCCATTCTGTGATATATTTGCGCACAGTTACCGCCACCTCCTCAAACTTCCATTCTCCTCACTGAACAAGGCCAGTTCTTAGCCTTTCCTCTAAGGTTTGGTTAAAAACACCAGTACAGCGTGATCTGAGCATGGCATAAATAGAGTTCTAAGTCTCACTGTAAACCTGATAATCCTCCTCAAAAAGATGGCTGCTTCACCCCACTTCAAAGCAAGTACATTGCCATAGAAAGACCTCCAATTACTTGAGACTTGGGTGCTGTTACGAATTATTCTACAAGACATGTCTTAGTCTCCTATGAAGAATTACCATAAATAATCAAAACTAAGCACTGGGGGCCAGTACGGTCCCGTGAACAAGGCACCAGATTAGGAGTCCGCAGACCTGGGCTCTGTTCCTGGAGCTATCATTTACTTGCTGTGTGCCTCAGTTTCCTCTACTTGTAAAAGGGGCATCAGCAATATTTACCTTCCTTTGAGAAGCACTTTGGTATCTGTGGTTTGAAAGCACCTATGTTAGAGCTGAGTGTTGCTATTCAATCTAACCTGTCAGAATAAATGCACACACTGTGTTTTGTGATGCACTTCCCCTTTTTTAAAAAATGATCTTTGTTCACCCAGTCTGCTCTGGGTTGCTCGATCACTGGTAGGTCTGTAACACAGCTGTTCAGCTAACAGAGACTGTCTGTTTCTGCTGCAGGTATTGTGTCGAATTCCAGATCACAGCCATCACGGAAGGCTGTTTGCAGGGGAGCAGTTCCTATACTCAGTGGATGCGCTATCTCAGCGAGGGGCACACGGTCTGCGTGGAGTGCCAGCACCCGGCCCTGGATTCCAGGAGTCTGCATTGCTACGGGGATGGCAGTGGAAGCAAAAAGTAAGAGCCCTGAATCCTGCCTTGTTCGTGTCTTTTCACATTGGATTTTTATATTCCTCCCCTTTGAGCTACTTGGAGAGTTTAACAATACTCTCTGCTCACCTCTCACTTTACATTTTCAGAGCCCTGTACATATATTAAGTAATCCTCACTGCACACTAGGTGTTGGGTAGGTTATATTATAATCATTATTTCTCAGAGAGACTGAGATGAAAGGTCTTGGCCAAGGTTTCATGGTAAGCCAGTGGCGGAGCCAGGATGGGAACACAGGACCTCCTGTGATTAGTCCGCTAAATCTCACTGCCTCCTAATTTAAGTAGCACAGTCATGATTTTTTTTTTTAAAAGGCTCTCCTGTCGTCTGACCAATGTTCCATGGCCAGCAAATAAAACCAAATCTTTTTGCCCGCTGGCACTGGTTCTAAGAACCATTTACTTCACTTGAGTGGACCTGTGGTTCATCTAGATCTGTACCGTGTTTCCAAAAGTGACCCTAACTGGGTGGTTCAGAATAGTGTGTTTCTCCCTGACCCCAGGCACTGTAAGCTCTGGTGCTGGGAACTGGTAGCCAGTGTAACTGGAGATCAAAACAAATCTTTGCATTATCGCACCTTTCACCCAGGAATCTCAAATTGCTTCTGCAAGCATTACTCGCACTGTACAGATGGGCCAAAGGAGAGGAGGAAGGACTTGCCTGTGGCCACACAGCAAGTCAGTGGAGGAATAGAGTCCTGATTTGCCAGTGCCCTGCTGTAGCCACTAGACACCACTGCCCCTCCACTTTTCTCTCACACAGTTCCCTTCCTAGTTACATCTGTGTAACAGGTGGAATTTAATTTTGTTTTTAACCTATTTAAAAACCCACTGTGGAACTGCAGGGCAATCCAGCACTGGAAACGACTGCGTAGCAGGGCTGTGGGTGTTTTGCTTGTAGCTCGCTTTAATATTGAAACGAATAGCTCTGTTTTTAAACACTAACCATAAACAAGGATTATGAGGCTTGAAAACATGCTATATATTACACACCCACTACCGCAGCCAGTAATAGCCTTTTTAGGTAGAGGCTGCCCATGGCTTTTAATGAGAACAAGTCATGTTAGATTCTTTTCCTCCCACTCTTCCCCCTTCTTGTTAAGTATGAAAGTTGCAAAGATCTTTAGATAAAGAGCAGCAAACCCAACTTATGTGGTCAGCGGAGGCTAAAAAGTGTAATAAAAATTATTTTGTTGGAAATCCTGGAGCCAAAAAAGAGCATCGGAGTAGATGAAACAAAAAATATCTGCATCCCACAGTTTCCTTCCCAGGGGTGTGGAAAGAGACCTTCCCTCATTTACCAAGCTGTCTGGTGAATAATATCTACATTCATAGCTTTATAGAACTGAGTGAATTTTTTTTTTTGAACAAACAGTTTATTCATGGAAAAATGCAGGTTTGGGTCGACTGGAATTATTTGCACATTTGGGTCAAACTCAGTGAAGAGTTTTGCCTGGGGGGGGGAAAATTCCAAAAAGTTAAAATGTTTCAATACTTTTGAAATGAAACATTTTGACTTTTCAAACTACTTTTTGCTTAGAAATTTAGCTTGTGTTTTTTTTTAAAGCCACCTGAAAACAAAAGAAGCAAAACAAACCCTAAAAGTCATTTTGGGTTGAATTAAATGTTTTTGTTTGACCCAAAACAAATTTTTTGTTTAACTGATTTTTTTTTTGAGAAGATGGTCATTCACTCAGCTCTAACACTTTAGTGTATAGGGCAAGAAAAACGACATTGTCTCTGTTAAATAGTAATTTCTGATGGCAACCTGGAGAACTGGCGAGCTTAGGGGAGTGTTAACGGAATATGGAGTGAATTCTAGCCCCATTGAAGCCAGTGGGAGTGTGGCTGTTGACTTGAATGGAGTCAAGATTTCACCCCTGGTGCCTTTCATCTCTAAGGAGCTGGTTTGAATCCTTTCTAGTTCAGCAGAGATGGAATTTGTTCCCATCTGTTTGCTGTATACTGGTGTATGTGAGATGAGTTGCTGAGCTAATCCATTTCCAGGTGCATGAGAAACTGGGAAGTGAAACAGATTATAAAACATAGTGAATTTGACCAGTCTAGCTTCCAAGCTGAATCAAATAAGTCTCATGGGAATTGGCACCAGTTGGCCGTCTTATCAAGGAGACCAAGGGTTGAATGAGGTTTGGACAGTGAATGCCCCTTGCAGCACTAGAGATGGTCCTTCCAGATAGGGCTGGGGCCAGGTGGGGGAAGCTTACACTGCTGCTGCCTATGTCACATCTGTTTTGGGGACTTTATTTTGACCCATATAGCTCTCAGTGAGGTGTCTGTGCCTAATGTTATCTTGGGAGCCTACCTTCTACTGCCCTGGGTCATGAAGCTCTACTCTGATGTGAGAGCACCTGGCAGAAGAAAGCTTAATTATCCGTTCCAGGCTGGTGGTGGAATGTGCAGTTGGCCGACTGAAGGCAAGATGGTGCAGCCTACAAATCCATTGGGATGCCAGTGTGTATAATGCCATTCCTGTTGGGGGGGGGCTATGCACTGCAGAGTTATGATGAAGAGACTAGTGAATAGGAAGCCCTGTAGATGATGATAAATTAAAATGAATTCACCTTTAATAATCTAAAGGCAAGGCATGGCTCTAGCCCTTAACACGACAAACCTTCTGTGATGAAATCCTAATGGGTTGATTACCCCAATACATTAAAATCCCTGAGTGATTAGAATAATCCCAGCCTTGGCAGTCATCTTGTTTCCATTCATTTCATTCCTTGACTCCCCACCACCTCAATCCTTTCATCTCCCCCTGCTGTTTGAAAGCAAAGAGAATTCCCAACAAGTTTTTGAGCCATTTTAGCTTTTACGTCAGGGTAAGAGATTTTGTTGGTTCTTTTGTTCCTTTCAACTGGATTTGTGGCCTTACATTCTTGAGGGGGTAATGGGGCTTGGATCTCTTCTGGAGTGGTGGGAAGTATTTTTATGATTCACACATTTAGATGATAGCTCTCCCTAAAGCTACCACGAAATGTTGTGCAAGTTGTGGGGGCCAGTTGTATTGATTTCTCTAATTGCTGTCCTATGTGCGGTTCAAAGTATTTGTTGGTGGAGCGGAGCCATGTTTGGAATGTCTGAATGTCTTATATAGGCATGTCTTATGCACAGCGCTGATGCATGATGCTCCCTTTTCACTTCCTTCCAGAAATAGGCTTTAAGGACTGGCCAAGTGGGATGGAGGCAGGGAAGGTGTGTGTGTGGTGGGGGGGGCCCATATGGAGCTGGTCAGCCATGATCTCTGAGAAGGAAGGGGAGCAGGTGGGATGGGAGAAACACGTGTGTCGGAGGGCATTGCCTCTCCAGTAGAGTAGCTAGACATATCAGAGTATCGACTGAGTTTTGAAACATTTTAGGGGAGCTCTTGTCCTGCTAAACTCCTCAGGCCAGAATCTGTGAGCCCCGGTGAAGAGGCTGAAGCTGTCAGGGGCTGGGATACAGCTTTGAGCACTTGGCCAGGTCTACGTAGAACTCTCATGCTATACATCCAACCTCCCTTCCCCACAAAGTACCCTGGTTTCAATCTTTAGCCTATGTAACCGTTCCAGTTATGCTAATAGGATAAATTGATCTATTTGCTGGTGATCATGCAAGCTGAACTTTCTGCCTCTCCTAGAGGGGAGTCACTGCAGCTCCTGGCTGAGGCACTGCGAGGGAAGCGTGTACAGCTGGTGCCTGGATCACACCCATCCCATCTCCACACTTCAGTCCTCTAGCGCTGTCGGTTTGACAGCTGGCACCAGCATTTAATTCACTACTGGTTCCCAGAATGATTGTCGGGAAGTAAAACTTCAGAGAGAGTTTAAAATAAACTCAGCAGCGGTGTTGTACTTTTGAATATTTTCTCTCTCTCTCTCAGCCTAGTCTGGCGCAATTCAAGCATTTGAGTAGCTAGTGCAGACTAACGGGAGATTCTGAAGGCTGCCTATGTAACCCGTTAGCGAGTGGTTCCTTCTCAGTGCCTGACCTGCAGAGAATGTGAATCTGTTACAGTTACAGCTAGGGAGCCTTGGGTCTTTGGCTCAAGATGTAGCAGCTCCTGCTTGTAGGTCTGGAGGTCTCCGGTGTGATGGCCAAGTAGCAGCCATCACATAAGTGGGAACACCTGGGATGCTCCAAGGAGTTTGATTGGCCTCCTTGTTCATGGAAGGGTAAGAGTTAAGAAGCCCAACATGACCGGGCTGTAAAACTATCCAGCGATCTTAGCACAGGTGGCGGTGGGGTGTTGGTTGGTGGGTGGTGGTTGGTTTTGTTTTTAATGGTACCAGACCTCAGTACTAAGCAACAAGCACTGATGTCTGTGATGAGCATGCGCTACAAACTGCTCTGGGGGCCGGTGCCTGGGAGGATTAGCTGTTCTTTATAGACTTAAGCAAGATGTGGTGATTGCAGCCCACAAACAGCTTCACTTGGTACATCCAGATAGGGAAGTGGGGGAACATTCCTTTAAACATAACACAGACCGTGTTTCCTATCGGCAGGGCCAAAGCTGGCAAGTGTGCTTTATGTTGAAGGAATCAAGCCTTTTAAAGATAAAGCTGTGGCCCAGGGGAGGAGGAGGAGAACCATACAACATGTGGGACCTGTCCATGTATGTAGCCTGCTCTGTAATGTCTTGGATCTTGATTCTTCCTATGCAAACCCTGGTGCCTTGAAATGACCCAAAGCCAGAAAAGAGAATGTTTCATTTCCCCTCCACCATGTGTGATGTATAAAACTGCACCCTGGATCGTGGCACCTCGTTAAACCAGCAGCACTGCTGTCTCTGTAAAATTGGCAGTGATAATTCAGGCTTCTAGAGAACTATAAAGCAAACAGGAGCAACAGATCATTCTGGCTACTTTGCTGACAGCTCTTGGCACTGGGGCGAGGACTGAACGAGCCATTGTGCTTTTCCGAAAGGGCCGGGCTGAGACCTTCTCCCATTACACATGCACTACCACATGCCAACAGAAGTCTGCAATGCTGCTGCCCGTGCCGTACCTTTTTCTATGGCTAAATTTCAAGCTCCCTGTCTGTCTGGCCAGCACCTTTTGTGCTAACACTAAGGGTACACCTACACAAGAGCGAGGGTGTGATTCCCAGCTCATGTTAGACATACTCTTGCTAGCTCTCCTCCAGCTAAAATGCTGAAAATAGCAGCGGCAAGAGTCGGCACAGGGTAACTACACTGCATACAAGCCTTCCTGAACCTTGTGGGTATGTGCTAGCTTGCGCTGCCGTGGCTTCGCGCTATTTTTAGCCAGCTAGCACGAGTATGTCTAGTGTGAGCTGGGATTCTCAAATGCTACATCTGCACATCAGGGTAAGTACTTAAAAGCCATTGTTTAAAATGGAACATTTCTCTAGTCAGTTCAGGATAAACACATTCAATAACTTGCTGGGAACATTCAGAACCTAGGAGAAAATAGTTTAGAAGGTGACGGTGATGTCTCTGCTCTCTTTTCCTGCCATACAAATAGATCCGTACTGCATGGCTCTGTGTTGCATAACACCTACTCGTTCAGTGTCTGTGGATGACAGTGAGAGCTCTGCCCGAGGAAAGCTGGCAGGATACAGAAGAGACTAGAGCTGGGGGAATTTTTTTGCACAAAACTTTTTTGGGCGACACCAAAATATTTCATGAATTCCTGTAGATTTCACCAAATTGTTTTAGTTTGGAAAAAAAAGTAAACAAAAAAATCAAAATGTTTCATGTTGACATTTTTGAAACAAATATATTTGTTTGAAACATTTTTGTTTCAAAATTTCCTTCAATTTATTAAAAAAAAATCAAATTAAAAAAAAATGCTCAAAATTGAAACAAAATATTTTGTTTGAGCTGTAACAATTATTTTTTTTTCCCCTCAGCCGCTCAATTACCAGTGAACCAAAAAATCCCTTATTCACCCAGGTGTAGTAGAGGCTGGTGATGTGCATTGAAGAAGTGAACTTTGCCTGTGGCTTGCAACTTATCAAATGCTTCAGTACAAGAGGACTGATTGTGATCTCACTTTACACTGCTTTTGCACTGATGTAACCCCATTGGTATCAATAGAGTTGATACTGATTTCACCAGTGTGAGATCAGAATCAGGCCCAGTGGGTGCAGACTGATGTCAGACAGAAGCTTCAGGATTTATTGGCTGATTTCAAACAGTGGCTGTGTGATTGGCTACTTCTACAGAGCAGCCAGCGTCCTGCTTAGCAGCCTTGCTGGAGCCCCCATTAGTGATGGTGCATTATGCACTCAGGTACTGTCCTTGAAGGAGTTAATACACTAATCCCTCCCCCCCAACCCCTCTTTTGCTTTGTTCCACCAGGAATCAGCTGCTGCACTGGCAGGCCATGGGGAATCCCCGGTGCAGAGGAACCTGGAGGAGAGTTCGCCAGCTGGACACTTGCTCCTGTCCTTCCGTTCACAGTTTCTTGTTCATCTAACTCTTCTGAATTGGCCCAGCGCCTCCAAGCCTGAGTCACGGGATCGTGGCTTTGGCACAAAGTTTGAAGTAACAACCCCACCCCACCTGCTGATCAGTCAGTAAAACCCCTCTTGGACTGTTTCAAGGAGGTTGCCACCTGCCAACGCTGAGGCTGAAAACTCCTTCATATCCACCCACGCTCTTGGCTCGCTGAAGAAGACAGGCTGACAAAAAATCTTCAGGCTCTTTGTCCCCACACTTCCTTCCATGAATGTCCCCTGTGCTTGAGAGCAGCCAGCCTGAATTGGGCAGTCAGTCGCCTACTCTACTTCCAAGTCCCTCCTTCCCTGAGACTTGCCAGCGAGAAGCCACCAAATAAAAGAATTCAAAAAAGAATTAATATACATGTATTGTTTTAAAACCTAGCTAAGCAGCCAACAAAAGATATGTAAAATGAGTCCACTCAAATTGCCTCCTCTCCATACAGATAACCCCCCTGCCTGGAGGGCATTCCTCCCTTCCCCCAATGCTTTTGTTATTTTATGTTGGGTTCCTGGTCTAATGTAGAGGCCAGTGCTGTACCTATTGAAATTTGGGGAAAAGCTCTCATTTACTTCATGAGAGGAGGTTTGAGTCCTTAGGGACTGATCCTGAAGGGTGCTGAGTGCCTCCGCTCCCATTGGGCTGGGTCCTGCTTCCATTGAGGTATACAGTAACTCCTCCCTTAACGTTGTTGTTATGTTCCTGAAAAATGCTACTTTAAGCAAAACGATGTTAAGCGAATCCAGTTTCCCCATAAGAATGGGGCGGGTTAGGTCCCAGGGAATTTTTTTTCGCCAGACAAGACTATATTTTATATGTATACACACACATACACAACATAAGTTTTAAACAATTTAATACTGTACACAGCAATGATGATTGTGAAGCTTGGTTGAGGTGGTGAAGTTAGAGGGTGGGATATTTCCCAGGGGATGCCTTGCTGCTAAATGATGAACTAGCACTCAGCTGAGCCCTCAAGGGTTAACCTCTTGTTGTTAATGTAGCCTCACACTGTACAAGGCAGCAGGAATGGGAGGGGAGACAGCATGGCAGAGAGAAACAGAGACACAGTGTGTGTGTGTTTGTGTGTGCGTGTGTGACAAACACTCATTGCCCCTTTAAGTATGCTGACCCCACTCTAAGTACATTGCCTTTTTACATAGATAAGCAAGTTGAGACTGCAGCTGCTGCCAGCAAGCTTCCTGAGTCCTGTCGTATCCCGTCCACCCCTGCTCTGTGGATGGGGTAAAGGAGCGTGGGGGGGGGGGAGAGGGGAGGGTAACACCCTGAGATTAGCACCCCTTCTCCCCCAGCAAGCAGGAGGCTCCTGGGAGCAGCTCCCAGGCAGAGGGCAGAAGCAGCATGTGGGGGGAGGGACAGCTGAACTGCCCAGCAATTGATAGCCAGCTGGGCGGCTGCCACACAGGGAGTTTAGGGGAGTGGGGAGCTGATGGGGGCGGGGGGAAGGTTCCAAGCCCCCACCAGCTAGCTCCAATGAGCTGCTCTTTCTGCAAGCAGTAGACAAAGCAGGCGGCTGCTAAACGGCGTTATAAGGGAGCATTCTGCAACTTTAAACGAGCATGTTCCCTAATTGATCAGCAACGTAACAACAAAACAACGTTAACCGGGATGACTTTAAGTGAGGAGTTACTGTATATTTATGAGAGAGTTGTTTGCAATAGCAGGGGACTGGACTCGATGACTCAGGCAGTCCCTTCCAGTCCTATGTTCCTTTGTGCAAAGTTTACATTTCACGATCGGGCCTGTTGAACCCGATGGGAGTTGAGGGTGCCGTGGAGAATGGAGTCCTTTGATTTCAGGCTTCAAGGAGCCTGGACCATATCTCAACTATCTGTGAAGTGCCTAGAACACCTTTGAGGTGTATAGAAAAAGTAGCCATTTAATGCCCAGCTGGGAGATAACTGTTCCTTTTTGTTTGCACATGGAACTGTTTGAAGTATTTTCTTTATAATTGGTTGAGGTTTTGTTGTAACACTTTCCTGTAGTGAATAAAGAGATGCTGGAGACATTCTAACAGTGTTTGATCTGTTTCTATAGTGCCGTCATGGAGCAGTTGGCCATCGAGAGCTCAGTCCAACTAATCTTGCTGTCCACTTCTCTACCACAGGATATAGGGCAAGGATGGATCTCTCAGGTATCCAATACCTAGGTCACTTAGAACTTCCAAAAAGATCCCAAGCACCTTGAATGAACGGCCCCGAGAAGCGGACGTGACATTTTACATATGCTTTGTTTTTAAATGTAATTAAGCAAAATAAAAAACTAAATATAATAAAAAGCCCATCTTTCTAGCTTTGCCTTGATAGGATCCCTCATTTGGACAGTCAGTGTGGCACTTATATGTGCTAATGTCCATTTGCTAGACCTAAGTAACACAGTATATTGTAGAGCTGTATAGGATAAAGGGAAATGATGTATTTTTGCCTACAGATGGAATGCTCTAGTGCAGTGGCTCTCAACCTTTCCAGACTACTGTACCCCTTTCAGGAATCTTTGTCTTACGTAACATGCATCACTGCTCTAGTGGTCTACTTCCATTCTCACAGTAAATGATAAACTATCCACTGCTTTGGGGCTGTTGAGTTCAGGGGTAGTACTCAGTGCTGTGATCTCTGTGGCTATGTCTTCCCTGCTAAAAGAGGTACGTTTTTACATTGAGAGCTGACTCCAATTAGCTATATCACTATAGAATCCTAGTGGAGACAAGGCACAGGAACTTCTTACCTCAGTTAAGCTAGTTAAGGCCAACCCTATAACCTCCCTCCCATCAAGGTAAAAACTACAGTGCCTTTTTTCCACTAGGATTTCATCGAGAAACCCATCTCCCTAAAAATACACACTTTTTTTTTCAGTGAAAACCAAGCCTTTGATCTTTACCTTTGAGTCTATTTGAAGCTTCTAGCAGCCCTTCTCTTCCTCTTGTGTTTATGATCTGCCTCCCAAGAGTCCTGTTTAGATACACTCAAACTGGCATGAGGTACTGTTCGGACTTCCCCGCAGTAGTGGGTTTCCCCTTGCCTGCCTTAGGAATTTGCTCTGTTTAACTTCTTTGTGCAGCTGATGACACAGTAAACTCAGACATTACAGCAGGCCTCTGCTTTTTAATTGTATATTACAGACTCTCTTAGTGGACTAATGACTCTCAATGAAATGACTTCATCTCAGTGTAGCAAAATGGGGGGGGGAGGGCTTATGCTTTGCTGTCTCTGACATCATCTGTGAGTAACTGGCCTTTGTGGCCTCCTCAAAGATCCTTTCTGTTTTGTGGACAAAGACATGCTCCTTTTGAGGAGTGACGTATGAATAAATAATGAGTGCAGTATTTGTGCTTTTGCAGTGAGGTATTTCTCTGGATATAGAAGTAAGTCTCTCTCTCTCTCTCTCTCTCTCTTTGGAGTTATGTGATAATAGTAACACTTATTGGAAGGTTTTAAAGAGGCCTAATCCTGCACCATATGGGTCCAAAGGGAGTTTTGCTATTAGCTTCGGTGGCAGCAGGCTCAAGTGCATGTCAGTAGCATTTTTCACTTGCAAATTAGTGCATCCAATCCTGTGAGAGACCAAACCCCCACGTCCTGCCAGGTGCTGGGAGCCATCAACTCGTATTGCCTTCAGTGGGTGCAGTAGTGGAATCAGCATTCATTCAATATAAAACTTGTGGCCTAATTAACTTTCTCTACAAAAATTCTATTCAGCCCCAACCAACTCCTAATCTTGCAAAGCACCCCTCCCCTACAAATTCACCCACCAGCCAACTAAGTGTATGTAGACTGTTGCACACAGTTTAGATTATGGTTAGAAAAACGTTAATGAAATGTTAACTATACTACATCTGTGCATTAGAATACACATTAAAGAGGTGGTTGTGTAAAACTGTTAAGCATTTATTACTAGAAATCTCGTGTGGGCTTTGTTGTGAGACTTTCAGGATCTAATGATTGCCACATGCCATAGTGACAAGTGCAGTATGAAGACCTTGATGGACAGAGATATATAGAACCTCCTCGTGTCAGCTATGTGAGAGTAACTGTGAACACTGCTGTCTTGTTGGTACCGATAATTCTATTCTGCCCCAGGTGAGGTTGCAAACAGATGCTGAACCTGATCCTGCAAGCCCTTCCTCTAGGGAACTCCCCCTGGTCTCAATGTGAATTCCATGCATGGAGGGCTTGCAGGATCAGCCAGTTAAGTAAGTGCAAGGAGCTTGGTGATGGGCTATGGCCCCTTTCAGTTCTACGTTGCTGGTTCAAGTGAAGCTCTGATAGACTGGAAGTTGCCACCAGCTGAAAGCTGTTCAGTGGCACATGTGACATGAAGTGGTAGGTGAAGTGGTCAGGTGTCCGTAGTATGAAACACTACCTGAATGGGCCCAAATGGGCAACTTTCTAGGCAGAGTCAGTGAAGACAGTGTCAGTGAAGACAGCAATGACTTATGATCCATTGAAGTCTGAATAAATCCCTTATCACCCTCAAGATGGTACCTTCGGCTCATGACTGAGGCACTTGGGTGAGATGACGACTTCAAATCTACAGGGCTGTCAATCTTGCACCACAACACACACTCTCTCTCTCACACACACTAAACAAGAAGGGACTGTTTCCCATTGTCTGCCCCCGGCTTTCCTCAATTTGAACCTCAAACAAAGCTACATCGAGGCTACGTTCCATAGTGATGGTACCACAGCACATCCCTCAACATGTCCCAGAAGAGGGCAGTACCAGGCACTTTTAAATGCTGCCCCTGAGACACTCTCACAAATAACCTATTGGTGAGTTTTGGGAGGGGAAAGCACAAATATTGAGAAAGAGAGACATGTATCCCATTAGCAGGAGAGGTTAATGGAGGTGATGGGCCAATTTCCCTAGCAATGACAAATGGATCCCTAGTCCTGCCTACTGCCCCCCAGGGTTTTTATCACCATCCATCATCATAATCTCTGTAACATCTTAGAGCCTAGATCTAAGGGAAGACAAAGCTACTGAAAAGCCCAGGCTAAATATTGCTAAAAAATGGCTTCAGATGGCAAAAAAGACAGCCAGCTTCGTCTTGAGCAAAAGGCTGTTTACTAGAGATGACAGTTGTTCCCATGACAACACTGTGAGCCTTTCACCATTGGGTGTCAACAGGAAAACAGCTCCTGCAGTGAATGGATGACACCAAGAGCCTTAGCCCAATAACTCAGAAATCATCCTGTTGGTCAAGAACAATCAGGAACTGTTCCTTGTGCATGTGGGCGGGGTTCACGTTTTAGCTATGGGCCTTTGGAGCAGTGACTGAAGGAAAAACCACAAGAATTCAGCTAATTTATCAAAGTTAAAAATAAAAGCCTCAG